TGTGGTAATAAGCATTGTGTATAAGTTTCATAACATTTGGTTGAGGCAAACTAAAGTTAGAGAAAGGAAACGAAAAATTCAGCAATTTTTCCATTTGTAAAGGGTATAACTCTAGAACGGTTAAAGTGAGGCCTAAAATAAAATATTGTTTGTTTCCCCAATCCCGACCGACCCTGCAAAAATGGTGCAACTCGTAAAATTTTATTGTCAAAACTAAGTCAAATATTATTTTAATCATTTTGGATTTTCAGGCTTGCCAGATCGTCCGATAATGTTCAAGCTTTTTGGAAAAATAATATCTTTCCCTACCTACCTACCCACACCTGGCTTGGCAGGGTCGGGATTGGGGAAACAAACAATATATTAATTTAGGCCTGATGCCACCAACATGCAAACTTGATCTGTGTTTTGTGGTAATAAGCATTTTGTATAAGTTTAATAACATTTGGTTGAAGCAAACTAAAGTTAGAGAACAGAAACCAACTTTGGGACGTAGACGGACAAGGGTAAAACTTAATGCCCCTCTGCTACAGCGGAGGCATAAAAATTGTCAAACTTTTTGCAATATGAACCTTCAAACTTCCAACTTGAATTGAACTTAATTTGCCTGCACTTTACTCAAATTCTTAACTAAATATTGAGGAAGACCACAAACGTCCCTCTAAAGAATTTAAAAGTAGTTGAGAGTTACTGACCACTTCCATTCAAACATAATGTGTTAACAACACGCAAACACCTTGACCTCTGATTAAAGACTACAATTAACTCTTTAAATCTCAGATGAAAACTTTCAATAAAAAAGAATAAATAGTATAAACCAACAAAAGATCTTTGAAAAAGGTTCATCCTCTAATCACATGAAAAAATAAACCTGCTTAACATCAAAACTTGCAAAACAAATATGAATCTAAAGTGTATTAACAAACTGAATAAATACATTCCACAGCTAAATTAAAGTAGCTTAATAAAGCTGACCAGGTAACCATTGTTGACATTAGTGGACACACTATTTGCTTTCACTGCCATCTTTTCAAAGTTACAATAATCGTCCATTTAAAACAGCTATCTAGCTACTGTATTAAACATTTGTTTGGTACAATGTCTCTTCCTTGGGCTGTTTGTTCAAGCCCATTGACAAACTTTCACTTCTCATTTGCTGAAAAGTCAACATACTTCTTGAGCTTTTAGGGAATTAAATTGAACACAATTAGGCCTTTCATTATTGGTTTGACACAGAGATTGACAAAAATATGTATTATAAAAGGCGTCACTTGTCAGTTTCAAGTAGATAATTGTTGAATTATTCCCATTGCTAATTAGGCCTCCTTGGTAATTTTTGCAGAAATAGAATTTGACTAAGAGTTACTTAAAACATGTACAAGCCATTCTCATTGTATGAATTAACTTTAATGTTATATATGATATTACAAGTACAATTAGACCCATAATAATAATGCATATCGAGATAAAATGCTTCGCTGAGCACAGCCTGATACGACCACAGAGGTCGAACCCTGAACATTTGGAGCAAATTTGGACACAATATTCAAGCTTGATACTGTCTGAATTTGGATTGTGATCAAATTTTTTACATAATATAGTTTTCCGACACAAAATAAATGTGGTCAAAGATCTTAAAAATCTATTGCGCAATACTGTGCAATTGAAGATTTCTTCTTGAAACTTTTCAAAAATTTGAAATTTGAAAAATTTTGAAAAAAAAAATATGAACCCCTAAAAAAAAATTGGAAAAAAAATCCCCCCCCAAACTTTTTGAAAGCCCCCCCCCCCCCCCCTTTTGGGGCAATTACCCCCAAACTCCATCTTAGCCTTCCCTTTGAAGTATGGTACCTTGTAGTACAATTTCAGAGAGTTCCATACACTTAAACACAAGTTATTGTCTGAAAACTAGAAAAATGTTTGTTTTTGGCCCCTTTTTTGCCCCTAATTTCTGCATGTTTGGTGTAATTACCCCCAAACTCAATCCCAACCTTCCCTTTGTGATATGGAACCTTGTGGTACAATGTCAGAGAGATCCATACACTTACACACAAGTTATTGTCTGTAAACTACAAAAATGCTTCTTTTTGGCCCCTAATTCCTAAATTGTTGGTACCATAACCCCCAAAATCAATCCCAACCTTCCTTTTGTGGTATTGAACCTTTTTGTTAAATTTCATAGAGATCCATTCCCTTAAACTAAGTTATTGTCCGGAAACCAAATGTGTCTTCGGACGACGACGATGCAGGCGACAAAATTTTGTGGTTGTATAAAAAATGTAAATAACTGCCAATGGTTTTGTCCTACTGTATACTTGTAATGAGAAGATTTCACAACATACCTTGATTTTATAAAGCCAATGTTTCTCAACAGGTTTAGATGTTTGTGGAGTTCATTTAATTTTACTCTCATTTTTGTGTTTTTGTCTCTTTGTTGTTCAGCAATTATAATCTTTTCCTGTTTATGTCAGTAAATAATTAATGCTGCTGAAGACATTGCAAAAAATAAACCATAATTCCTCCCTCCCTGTAGGAAGTACACATATGTCTTCAACCAAGACAAATACTTAGTGATGGAAAATTGATGCAAATAATGCTATAATTCATGTCATAAGAGGCTATATTAAGAGTCATAACTCCTGACTAAATGCCATGCAATGTCAATTTACAGGAAACTGAATGTAAATAATTGATGATGTTTGCTCATCACTTAATAATAAACCTCACTCATTCACAGAATTCTGTAAAAATTAATCCTTTTATATTTCTACTATAAGCATTAACTGTAACACTGGCAAGAAAATTAGTTTCATATGGTTTGATAAGAAATATGTGCACACTTCAGTCCAAATACTGTGCTGTGTCATATATTTCAAAAGGTAATTTTTCATATATATGTAGGACTCAAATCTATGGCGGGTCCCAATCTATGGCAGATTCCTAATCTATGGCAAATATGACGTTACAAACGCCAAACAAATCAAATCTATGGCAGATTTAGGAATTACGTAATTTTCCGAGAAAAAGAGTAACATATAACGTCACAATAAAATAACTCCATATAAGTCGTCACCGACAGTAAAGTTGTTGGCTCTCAAAACTTTCCTGAAGTCCTGTGTTTAAAATACTCAGGAAAACACTTTCCGCTTTCCCTCTAGAACAATTTGCCGACGGTTTAAATAAAGATGTGATCTTTTATCCATAGGAGGGACACTCATTATTGTACCGTCCGAATCCCGCAATCAAGAAAGGAACAGCTGTTTTTAGTAGTGGATATTTTGGGAATGGAGTTATAGTAAATATTTTAGCGTCTACGGCTGGCAAAGTATTTAAAGTGAGAAAATGAAATTACAGGATACCACCTCGACTTAAATCGTCACCAGTTGAAAAAAGATTGATTAACGCTGAAATAAATATCATGTGAAAAGTCAAACTGTTTAAATTGTTTTTTATAAAAAAACTGCTTTCTTGTTTAAGGGACTTCCATTTTTCTAGTTGTTTTAATTAATGGATTAAACAGGTACCATGCACAGATTAGGAAATACTTATTTTTCCGGGGAAGATAATTTTAATCCCGATTTCTGTATTATGGTATATTACTTCTACACTTTTTTATGGTTGACATCACGATTTGGTTGACCATTATGGATTTTTATTTCACAAATGTTTATAGACATGCTCCCGTTGTCGTACATTTCAACTTATTTAAGACAAGTCAGTGATTGTATATGTACTGCCTTGCTCTACATTTGCACAAAATTTGCCATAGATTTGGAAACAACAAAAATCCGCCATAGATTAGGAAATTACAAAACTTGCCATAGATTAGGATTTTAACAAATCTGCCATAGATTTGGGATGGCATGACATCATATTTACCATATATTAGGAATCTGCCATAGATCTGGAACCCACCATAGATTTGAGTCCTACATATTAATATTTCCAAGGGGTATACCTCTTTTAATCATCTTATTGTCAAATTGTTTATATATATAATGTGTATAAAAAAATAAATATAAAATTCAGCATTTCAGATGAAAAGATAGGGCATGTTTAAAATTTACATGACTGAACATCTACATCAAAATGACATTTCCCTGATGGCTATGTCTGTCCAAACACAGCCATTGTCCTTACTTTTTCAACAAAAAATCTCTTTCTATGTACATGAACATGCAAAAAATCATACTCCAGACAAAAACTTCAGTCTATCTGATTTTTACAAATCCTAAATAGCAAATTGGTGTTCAAATTAGTAAGAAGGTAGTGTAATTATAATCATCATATATCATAAAGATTAAAATTTGAATAGTAATTAATCATCTCTACATATATGGAGGATGACTTTCAAAACAGTACAGCAGACTTTCCTTCAGACACCAATTATGTCAAAACTACAGACACCAACAAAGGTCATTTTTGTTGTTTAGTTATGGACAGTTAATCAGAAACATGACTCATGCATTCTTTAGTTTAATTAAATCACTTTTTATAGTTAATTTATTAAAATGTAAGACATTTGAGGGCTAATTAAATTAAGTTAATGTGATATAGTAATTTCCTTGTAAATATTAAACACTCTCTGATATCCTTCAGGGAATATCCAACCAGTCTCTGAAATTCAGTTGTGTTTTTTTAGTTGATGGATTTGTTTGACACTTAGAAGATACATCCTTTCAATTCCCATAAACTGTCATGTTTTCTCAAATACTACAAGCACTTAAAGGTGAACTTGCATAGTTCCTGATATATAATATTTCAATTACTAATTTCAGTGACAGTTTTTTTGTGGTTTTTTTATAATTTATGTGGAGCAATATTAATATTTGCCAATGTTGGAAATATAAATATCTGAATTTGAAATTGCAGTAAGAGGACTAGGTCTATTAGTTTACTCTGAGATCTATGTTTTTTTCTGCGATAGCTACTTTCGAACAAAGATGTCTTTTATTTTACATAAGTGAAATAAATTAATATTGAAAGCTTGTCAGACTTACCTGGAACAGATGTATTCACACAACGCCAAAACTCAATCTGCAACAGAAAAATTGAGAAACTTTAGGACAAGATCTTTCAAATACCAATCCAGCAATTTGCAAAGTACACCATTTTCCCCACTGCATTGCGATACAAGTTTTGTTTATATTCAACTGTTCACAACAAGTGAATATTATCCAAAAGTATGGGGTGGTGGGTACATTGCTGTCTCCTACCTGATAATATCAGTGATGCTTTGTTTGTTTTTTTTCTAATTTTGTTCAGCATGGCCTTGAAGCAAAAATTTTATAACTATGGCCTCTATTTGATCCTTTCCACAATCAATTTTAAAAATTAAACCCGACATGTTGTCAAATTGCATAAAGTCTCAATGAATAGTTTCAACCTAGGTTGACTGTGTTCGGTGATAAGCTTCTTACAAATTAGATAAAAAGGCCTTTACACTAAGTTATAATGAATTTATTAAGGGTCCAGGATTACTTATTAAAATTTAACTTTTCCCTTTTACTTGCATTTTTAAAGAATTCTTTATGATACTTTATTGATTGGCCACCAACAGATAACTTGAGTGTTAAAGTATGAGTTATGTGAAAATAGTTGTTTATTGTGATTTTTCTTTTCTTTTTTTTCTTTTTTGCAAAAAAGGAATTGAACATTTCAAATTGTAATCATTAAGTGATTAATGGCCATAATGACAATTTATCTGTTTACATGTCTTTGTTTATGTTGTCTCCAAGACAAATGACTGGCTCTATAACTTGGTGAAATTTATACTTTTATGTATGTACATGCAGAATGTAGACAGTCGGTAAAGTTGAAGAAAAATGTGAACTATACAATGTATGAAGATACAATAGTTTGACTATGTCTCACAACAGCAGACTGAATAAGAAATTATTAACAGATCGGCTAAGCTTAATGAGGAATTACTCTACTTCCAGATCCTAAAACAAAAGCCATCAAGACAATCTTGCTGTACATATATCTCTTCAGCTAATTCATCTTCCTGTCAACCAACATGCAGATTTAATTAAAAATAATTTTTGTTATGTTTTGAAGTACCTTGAGCATACCGAACTGACAGGTGTAATTTATCTAGTTAGTGTGTATATATTTGTGTGTGTATGTTGTTTATGTGAGGTAATTCAAAAGGAAGTTGATAACTGCATAATAAGAATATAAGAAGTAATGACAAACATCTACTTCATGATACATGAATGCGTGACCCCATTTAAAACAGTCTGACTTATCTAAACAATGCACTTCCTATAACTCAAGAACATCAAATCTGGAAATATCAAAATATTGCAAATGAGGTGTAAATGATTTAAATCCAATAACTATGGCAAGACAAATTTGAAAATTGAAAAAAGGCAGCCTAAGTTTTGTGTATAAATCTGGTAGGATTCATTAACACATTACTTCACTAATCAAACTTTATTTTTCAGGTTATCTTGTAATCACCATTAAGCTGGCTTTAATTCTAGTTATGGTTCATTCCTTCAATCCTTTCATCTCTTCAACCAGTAAAATACCAGAGATTTGGAATTTCCCAATATAAGAACTCAGTATAATCAATCATTTACCCTTATGGAACCTCAAAAGCATCCTTTAAACAATAACAATTTGCCTTGTATTTTGTGTCTTTGGTGCCATATTAGATGCTATCAGTATCAACTGTACATGATTTAGGAAGACATGTTTCCATTATATTTCTAGCTTTGGTCAAATTGCAGATGACTAATATATACTAGTAATTCAATTGTTCAGCTACAAGTCTGATTTCTGATCATCTGGGGCACCAATAACTGGGAACTTATTTAAAGCCATCATTGAAACAGACATTGGAAAATAAAATCATACAAATTGTATTATATAATATACAAGAAGTCAAATTAACAATATATATATATATCCACACTGTGGTTATTAAAAAATGTCTTGAATTTTGTACGGTTTGATATTTTTTCCTTTCTATGTATTATTGAGAGTGCCTTCTCCAATGAACATGACACATCCATTGGTAGGGTATTGTGACACTTATATCAGAAAATGTAGAACTGCTGGGACAAACCAGATATATAATTAAAGTCAAGAGTTATTAGATGAAATTCTGTGATTTTCAGCAAAATGACAATATGATCCAAATTCAAAATTAAAACTGTCAGACATAAATATAACTAAACAGATAAATGATCGCTCTAGTGAAATTTCCCTCATTCCTGATCTGGCATAATATTATATTACACACTTTAACCAGATACATGTTTTTCATTATTTTTTGGATTTTCTATAAGTTTGCTTTTTTAAATGTGCAAATTCAGTTTAAACCTGATTTGGAGATTTTAAAATGTTCATGTTAAAAGCCACTCCTTTGATTCCCTCACAGAATTTCTACAAATAACATGTAAATCTAATCAAAACAAAGAAAATGTATGTACTTCTTCATTTATCAAGATAGGAACAAAAAAACTAGCCTCTAACAAGGCTTGTATCTCCCCTGGTAATCTATCGCAGAACAGGAAGTCTTGATAGTGCTCAATGTTTTCAGGGTTAACTGCAATCTAAGCCTTGATTATTTCACATGTCAAAAATCATCTATTTTTCTTTTTTTAATTTGTAAAAGAAAATTAACAGAAAAAGTGTGTATCTCCTTGAAGAATGGTAATTTTCAATGTTCTATTTTCTATTACTGTATTATCAGAATCAATCTTACTTTTTCTTTTCTCTTGTGTAAATCAGGTGAAAAGATAAAAACTTGAAAGCTTTGTGAACCATTTATCAACAAAATAGTGTTGTTGGCAGTACATTTCTATAACCTAACTAATTTTATAAATTTTGTTTAAATTGTGATAAATTGGTAATTTTATTAGTTGAGACCCTGAAAACTTGACACCACGAAACCATTCAGGTTACAAGAAATCTTAATTTTTTTTCCTTTTTTCTCAACATTTTATCCGAAAAATGTCCTTTGGCTTGTATTCTTCTTTACACATATAATTATATACAACAATAATATAATGGCTGCATTTTCATTGAGGGCATATGATGACCTCTGGCATGCTCATTTTTGAGGGCTTTAATTGTTGGGTTGCTGTCTTACTGACATTTACCCAATATCAAACTGGACTTTTAATCAATATGTAATGAACGGTTGGACCAACTTGAAGAATTTTACAAAAATAATGAAAATGCTTAGACATGTAATACATACACAAAACCTCTTTATTTCCTTAAAATCTCATACCAAAATATCATTAATTTAGTATCAATCTTTCCTTAATCTCTTTTGTCATTTAAAAGAACCCTCAATATCTTCAAAAATATTTCGTCTTTACTTAAGATTTTGTCAAATCAAATTTTCAACCTACTCAGAAATATAATTTGTCATTCAAAGATCAAAAAGTCTGTCAGTTTTGATCCTAATTCCCAATAAAATATTTGAAAAACCTAGGGTAGTATGTTTTGATTAAAATGAACATCAGGAGCCCAAAAGCTCTTACCCTGTTTTTTTAAAGGTGTGTTAGTTTACAAATCTTATCAATTTGCTATCAATTGTGAGTTCGTTTACAAATCAATATTATTCTATTCCAATTAAAAAGACATGCCGGAAATCTTATGTCATGAAATAATCTTACTGTTAAAAAGACTCCTAGATATCAGTATAACATTAGCCAGAGGTACAGTCACAAAGGTTAATTAAATACAATATATTTCAGCAGGTAGTACATGACACAACACTACAGATAAACTACATGCATATGCTTAATATTAACAATTAGAGTAATTCTGCATTCAGTTCATAATAAAAATATTAATACATGTACCAAGAAACTTTTAAACGGGGGGGGGGGGGGGGGGGGGGGGGCTTATTCAATTATTTATTTTTTCCACATTTATAATTAATGAATTAATTGAAGTAACATTAATTAACTGCATGCAGTGGTTGATAATTGTTGGCACAGGGGAGATGCAATTTTCCTACCATACAACTATTATAAAACTTTGAACATTACAAGGGCTCAATTTGTTGATTTTATAACATATTGCAGAGGACCCATTCTAAGATTTAACTTCTCTAGTATGACATCATTCAGTTTTTTCTGCAAATATGGTTCCATCATTTTGTTAGGCTTTTTGTTTCCATGGAAATTGATGAATATTTTTACGTGACAGGATATTAACAGACAATAAAATGATTACCCTTAATAAACCTGATGGAATCTTAAGTTCTGACAGCAGCAAATTCTATTGAGGAAAATTTGTCATAATCAGGAGTATGGATAAAGCTAGGTATAAACTGATCTTTAATGGACATACAAATACATAATCCTTGTCACGATATTCATTTCAAATGTACTGCCTTAAACTAAGAGCAAAATCCATATATCATAGTCAGCTATAAAAGGCCCTGTATAAAAGGCCTGGCTGAATGAGTGTTTTTCAATAGTAGAAGAAACCAAATGCTACATCAAGTATACACATGGTTATTAGAGTTCTGAATACAGTGTTATTACACTGTTATACTGAGTACTAAGTTAACAATGAGGTGCATGTCACTTTTTCTTATGAAACCTGTATCACAGATGAGGGGGGTAGGAGGGGTCTCATCCCAAATTCCCGAGAAAATAAAAGCCAAATCCTGAATTTCAGTAAAAATAATAATCAATCCCGAATTCCAGTGGAATTAAAAGTGGATGTTATCTTAAATCGCCATACATAACAACAGACATTCAAAAATAGCCGTGGAAATAGAATAAGGGTCAATATGGTTCCAGTTTTCACTTTGTTTTCTATGTACCTGTGCAAACTCAATGTAATATACCTTCTTGTGATCTTTTCCTTTTGTAAAAACAAACGTCTAAATCTTATATTTGGAGAAAAAAAAGAGTTCACAGTGTCTACACCCTCGATCTACACACTGCAGATTCTGACCAAAATATCACTTTGAAGGCTTTGCAAACAGTGTCTTGGTACATATTAAGTGGAAGTGTACTATACTTATATGCTGCATTTCCTGGCGAACAGAACGCTAATGAACACATTTTCCAAACGTGTTCGCCCACTTATATCAAGGTCATAATGTCTTCCTTCCCAACAGATAACCCCTTTGGCTTTGGAAAAGAAGGGACCATGTCTAAACGTAGACTACACACAGGGACAGTATAATAAGATGGCTCTGAAGTATAATGATATATATGTTGCCCATGATGTAATTTTGTTACACTTTCTCTGAAGATTGTACCGATATCTCGACAGTATTGCCGTTTTGTTTACAAAACTTTTCATTTTTGAAATACTAAGGCTTTTCTACCTCAGGAATAGATTACCTTAGCTGTATTTTGCAAAACTTTTAGGAATTTTTGGTCCTCAATGCTCTTCAACTTTGTACTTTATTTGGCCTTTTAAACTTTTTTTGATTTGAGCGTCACTGATGAGTCTTTTGCAGATGAAACTCGCATTTAGCGCAAATACAAAATTTCAATCCTGGTATCTATGCTGAGTTTATTTGTAGGTAATTTTTGCTTTAAGTGGTAATAGAGTGAAAAAAAATCCTGAATTCCCACTGAAATTAAATGTGTCAATTCCCGCATCATGATATAATTCAATCCCGAATTCCCGATGATATAACTGGCTATTCCAGAATTCCTGCGAATTAAATGACTCGATACTAACATCCCGAAAAAGATCCTTCTGTCCCTCACAGATAAAATAAACAGCTGCGCCATGAGCGCATGATACACCCGTCACTTTTTCAAAGAATAAAGTTCATTAACTTCTCAATGTCATATCAGAAATTCATGAAAAAATCTAAAGGGAGGTTATCTTAATAGATATAAACCAGTCACCAAAGTTTCATGATAACTGCTCAAAGCATTGATCGAAAACTGAAAATACCCCTTTTTTTATGAATACAATCACATAACTCCGAAACGTAAAATCTAAAATTTTAAAAAATCGAAATGGAGCTTACGTCAATAGATATAAACAATTCACCAAAGTTTCATGAAAACTGCTGAAAGCATTTTTGAGTTATTGTCTGAAAACTGGAAAACCCCCCTTTTTATAATGAATAAAACCCCATAACTCCGAAACGTAAAACCTTAAATTTATAAAAATCCAAAGGGAGCTCATGGCAATAGATATAAACAATTCACCAAAGTTTCTTGCAAATTGGTGTTAGTGTTTTTGAGTTATTGTCTGAAAACTAGAAAATCCCCCTTTTTTAATGATAAAAAAACCCAACACTCGGAAACTTAAAATCTTAAATTTATAAAAAACGAAAGGGAGCTCACGTCAATAGATATAAACAATTCACCAAAGTTTCATGCGAATTGGTTCAAGTGTTTTTGAGTTATTGTCCGACATGTTGACGATGGACGGACGGACAGACAGACAACGGTATACCATAATATGTCCCGTAAACGGGCGTATAAAAATGTAGTTTAGCTCAGATTCACTCTCAAAAAGGAAAAAAAAATTAAGAAAAATGATGAATGAATCAGAAATCCAGGAGAAAATTATCAATTTTCAAAATGTACAAAAGTTTGCCAAAATCCTCTCATGAACAGCTGAACATTTAATTGACATGAGATAACATTATAATAGTTTTATTGTATTCATTATAACTTTATGTAATTACTACTTCATTTCTTAATGTAACTTACATCTGTATACAATTTCATACAACTTTTAGGAGCAAATAATACCCAGAATACACTTGAACAGTGACAGACTGTCATGAAATTGCATTTTTGTCACCCTAAATGTGCATTAAGACTATAGAATTATGATCCATTACAATACAATATAATGTGTTCACTGAAAATATTAATTTTGAGGGTCTTCACCAATGAAATGCAGTAGTAGGATTTAAATTTAGATGACAAAAAATAATCCACATATAACATAACAAAGAAAACAAACCCAAATGAAATCCTGATAAAACGTCAGGCATTACAGCCAGGTTTGAAATTCCTGATCCACTAATGGTACCCATAGTTTTGATCATAACAAGTAGTAATAAACAGCTCTCTATGAAATTTAAATAGAACACACCATTTGGAAGGAAATTGGCTATCACATGAATGATTTCTGGTACAACTTCAAATGTGTTTTACCAGTATAAGATACACCTTGAGGGCATTAGACCAAATGGGTGTATGTAATTTACACCAAGATATTATTGTCAATGCAGAATGATTGTTTTTAAATAATTTAGGAGGGTGTATTTCAGCGATTTGACCATGTTATTGAAAAGCATAATAAATGCAGGGTATCCAACTTCATTTATCGACACCTTGGTGTAAATATAACTAGAGACTCTAAAGAGCCTGTGTCGCTCACCTTGGTGTAAATATAACTAGAGACTCTAAAGAGCCTGTGTCGCTCACCTTGGTGTAAATATAATTAGAGACTATAAAGAGCCTGTGTCGCTCACCTTGGTCTATGTGCATATTCAACAAAGGACACTCTCCAACATTGTAGACGAGAATAGAATTCATGACAAAAATCTCTGTTTTGTTGATCTTGTTTGGCTGATCATTTAGTCTGTTTAGTTTCTCTCTATTTTCTTTAGTCTTTGCTCAAAACACAAAAGAGGGTAAAAAAATCCTCATTTAAGGGCAATCACTCCTATAAAGAGTGACAGTCTATTACTATATCGGCAAAATTTGATTTGTTAGAAGATCATGACTTGCAGATCATTTTTGTGATTAAAAGTGTCTATTTATCTATTTTATAATTTTTTATCATATTGACATATGAGGCAAAACGCAAAAAAAGTGGTGAAAATCATCATTAAAGGGCAATAACTCCAACAAGTAGTTGTCGGATGATTTCCTCCACATAGTCTTAATTGTAGAAATTTTTTTTGCTTATTTAAGTTTCTATTTATCTATTACAATTTTTAAGTTTATAAGGCAAAAATGCAAAAAAATTGGTAAAAATCGTCATCAGAGGGCAATAACTCTAATAAGGAGTCGACTGATTTATGATGGTTGGCTCCAAAGTTTAGTTTTCTATACTCATGAATTATGTTGTTCTTATAGAAGGATCTTTTTATTTCTATTGCTTTCAATTACATTCTTAAATGGAATTGTTGCATTTACAAAAATGTAAATTGCTCTCATCCTAAATTTAAATTTATATTAATGTACTATAAAATTAATTCATCTCCATGTATTAAATACCTCGTTTTACTTTTTAAGTCCCCGGCAGTGAACCCCATACAAAAGAAACTCCCTTTCAAATACCTCAGTGCATTTACATAATCTGTTGATTAGCCAGGCTGTGGTAGTTTGGTTGCAAATCACTTGAATTCAATTTGTTGTACCTTTAAGTGCAGAATGCCTCATTTGGCTTTGTCAATAGGAATGAATTTGAAATAGAGTTGGTTTAAATCATAATGAAACTTTACATTGTTGTTACAAATATGACCTGTATTTTTCTCTGACATTTTATGCTAATATCATTGATTTAATAATTACTGATTTTTTTTACAAGATTAGAGGTAACTATATGAAATAAGTGCATGTATTGTTTATTATCATATTCAAACAACCACTACAGAATTAATCTTCTAGAAATTCTTTCACCATATGTGGCTATTCTGAAATAGCAAAGAATAATTCTCTTCAATGGCAAACAACTGTCAACCTAAGATTTACTGTTCTTCTCCTGTTTTGTCCTCTTAACTCTATTTGATTTATCTGACTAACTGCATATCACCAAAATTCAGATTTAATAGACATTGTATTTGGTGAACCCTTTGTGTTCTCAGAACCTTATCCATGTTCAACTTATCTAGAAAGTGATTTCTGTGAGTCTAAATTTTAAGTTATTATTTGATATATTCAGTATTTTTCTCTCATCAAATAAATCTGGTTTACTGCAATGAACAGCAATTATAAAAAGTAAATATATAAATATGAATAAAAGAGGATATCGGGGATAAGACAAAAAGATAATAACCAAAAATAACAATACAAGTAAAGTTGTTCCTTACTGCAACAAATTGTCTTGGTGGTTTTGTGGTAGCTTGATAGCCCTTAGTGCAGCAAGTTGTTGGTGCAATCACAGACTGGGTCAATCCAAAGATTTTTAAAGCCAAAGCTAAGACTAGTTGGATTGGTGTCAGAAAACTGTCTCTGAGAAAGGTTATAAGTCTTCATTGTTGACTGCAACCAATCATACCAACTCCCCATAAAAGGGAAATAACTCATATCAAAATGATAAATCATAATTCTTCAGTCAAGCTACAAGCTTTTGGAAAAGATTTATATAATTACTTTAATGAGGAAATACAAGTGAGTGACAGATATCAATTTGGTGCTTTTTTTAATAAATTGTTCCGCCTGACCTGAACCACCTGACCTGAACCAATGTGTATTCTATAAATTTCATGCACTTGGAAGACAGAATGCTTAAAGGTGTGTGTGTATATATACTTCTGATATCATCAGGCAAATCTATTCTTGAGTTTGAATCTTTCATTTGTCAGTGCCTGTGTTTTTGTTTAGACTGAAAATGTTCTGGCCAAAAGGACAAGATTTCAATAATGTAGATGATACATGTTAGTATAAAGCTAGACTAGTAGGACTATACTATATCTTACCTGATCTGACCTACACTGTTTAGATGTCTTAATAATCTGCTCTATCTGTTCAATCTGGTTGCCTGTTATTACCATCTGAAATAGAAATTATAACAACTGGTCAATAATATGTCTCTATGTACAGCATGTAAAAGACTATGTATTTACCTCATAATTGGTTATATATATGTGGTAGGTAAATAAGATTATTACAATACATTTAAGACATACTGAATATTAAAACAATTAGACTATTGTAGCCCACGACAGGTATGATATAAAAAATAATTAATGTAACCCTAGACAAAAGAGGACCATGTGGTCATCTTAACAAAGTCCATGTGAATGAACTTTTCTAGAGATGACTTGTATGGTAAACTTATGTATTGCTTTCAGTAATAAATTTTCATTCTATCTAGAATGTTTTTTTTCGAAACTGTATAAATTCAAATATTTTTTTCTTTCAAATTCAAATATTTCATTGGTTAAAAGCACATATAATATAATGTGTAATCCAAGTGTATAAAGACATAAAAACTATAATTCTTATAATATCTGACCAACACATCTTTTTAGTAAAAAAATGTTGCAGGTTCTAAACTTTCTCAGAGAAAAAATGAAAGTTTCTGTATATTTTTCACATGCAATCCAACCATATATATTCAATACAGAGAGATCCTACCATGAGAAAATCAAAAAGATTTAATATGTCATGTCAGTTTGCATAATTTATTTTAATACTTCTTCAAAATACTCTAAAATCAAATTTTTATTCTGTTAACTACAATATTTTGAAGAGAGTTTTAGAAAAATTTTAGCAGACAAATGGTCTGACAGGAAAATCAAAGAATAACATAAGATAAAGAAACAATGACTGAAAGAAGGTGAATCATTTTTCCAGAGATCAAAGAAGGTGATAATTCATGAATAATAGTTTAGGTCAGCATGTTTTTATAACCCCTGAATACCCCTGTCATATCCCACCACATTTGATCTTGCATGTATTAAACCTACTTCACACTGACATTTTGAATTAATCTGAGTGAAAATATCTAATACATAACTACCATAATCATTTGTAATGTTTTGCGCGATTACATGCCATTTTTCTAAGTTTAATCATGGCATTCATAGGCATTGTTTGGGATATTGTCAACTTTACATAAATCAGATTACTGTCAAGGCATAATTTATTCATTAAACAAATACCAGTAATGGTTGAAAATTGCAAACTAGCAACATAAAACACACATCCCAAAATTTGGATGTCAGAGGGTGACATCGGCAAATGTTTTTTTAATATGTCCAAATATGTGAAACAAAACTGAATTGAAGTGCTAAATCCTCTTTTCAAGTTCTATGGTACGTTTTATTCAAAATACTTCACTAAGAAATGAGAAGTCTTTACAAAATGACATTTTCACCTGCCACAGTGAATTTCTTAATGGAACACCTCTGTGCAAGGAATATAACTTGATAACAAAACTAAATAGAAAATGAACTACTTCTACTCCTAATCCTTATAATTTGTGAAAATTATACATTAAGGTTGAGGATAAGATATGTTGCCTCATACAAAAGCCACAAAGTGGTTATGAGAAACCTACCAATGATAATGAACAATTAAATAAATGTTATGTTTTTAGTGGGGTTTGCGTTGCTAAAGTTTTCTACGTAGTGTTTTTGGAATTGTTTGTCCTTCCCATTTCTGCCATGACATTAAATGTCCGTTTCTCTTCGACTTATGAGTTTTGAACGTCCCCATGGAAACTTCCATTACTTTTTAATGTAGGTTTTGAAAAGATGATAAAAAGATTATGCAGACTCATACATTATGAAACAAACTATGGAATTACCAATATTTGGCTATGGGAAACTGACCAAATCACTCATTACTGATGTCCTCAAATAAAAACACTATCTGTTGGATACCTAGTTTGATTTGGTTAATGTTTCTGTTGACAAATTTATTAAGGAACTGTTAAAGAGAAAGATCATTCATGACACAAAACGTCAAATCCCCTGCATATGTCATATAATAAGCATATATTAGTTGGCTGTTTGTCATACAAAATTTTAATTTTTTATTACTCAAAGTTCATGAAAAAAAAAGTTAAGCAGACACATTTAAAATGTATCCAGTACATGACTGAACTGCAGTCTATTAATTCAAAATTCTAAAGTTTATTCAAGACCCTGCAGACAGAAATAAAAATGTACATCTGTTGTGCATTTTAAAAGACAACTGCCTGCAGATAACTTAATAGAACATTTTTAAATTATAAAATATGGGGGGAAAACATGGAATTTTATTTTCAAGTCAAATTCTTACAAAAATGAAGTTTAGTGATTTATTATGATACAAAATAATGAACAACATGTATGTATTTTATCTTCCAAATTCAAGATTATCTAACAAAAACAATATGAATGCACTGCAATCTTTTAGTTTGCTATTCAGCTGCTGTTTTTTTAACAATTATATAAATCATGAAAGTTATTTCTAGGATAATAATTGTATTGGTAGATTGTAATCAAAAGATCACATTATCTTCAACTTATTCATTTCTACAGAGTCTGCAGGGGACAGAAATTCTGTTTTCTTAGTAAAAAGCCATCTTCATAGGTTGATCGATCAGCCATAAGCTGATGCTAAGGCTTAATTTGATTTTTTTATATTAAGAAATCTTATTTTCCCAAAGGCATTTTTGTAAATTTTTAAGATTAAGTTACAGAACCAGGTAATCCATATTTTGGATTTTATATCGATAAAATCTTTGACTTTTGACTTTGAAAATGGTACAAAAACAAGTGGCACTGGTTGCTACAATAAATAGCCATGTTCAGCATTTCAAAGTAGCTCAGCATTGCAGTGTATCAGCAATATTTATTCAGAAAGAGTGCATCTTGCAATTATATCAAAATGTAATTTAAGAGCCAAATTCCTGATTTATGTACTATACATTTATGTACTCTAAATTCAGAAATTATTGCGTGCATTTATCATTGCGATTTTCAAAGAATTAACAAAAATTCGAGTTTAATTATTGCGATTTTAGGAAAAGCTACATACAAATGTATTTATTTGATATCAGAATGCCAGTTCTTATTATTGCGATACTCAAGAAGTCCCATTATTCGCATTAATAAAAACCTCGCAATAATTTCTGAATTTACAGTATAAAAAAAATTAGCAATACACTTCTTGACCACAGTCAGATTGGTGGTGAAAACAACTAATAGACCATACTTAAGACAACAGCTATGTAAATTATGTCCCTTGTTTCTATCTCCTAGGAAACCAGATTAGTAAGACATATCATGTGTGTCCCTTTGTTACTAAACACCCATTTTTCACACCTGGGACATAAAAGCAAGATCACATCCCCATAAACCAATTCAAAACATAAATCAAGTAATGTGATAACTCCAACAAAACAATCTAAAAGAAGCTGAAGTCATACCTCACAAAAGTTAGGTTCAATGCAAATTTTATTAATATCGTAATTTAATCCATAATCATTTAACATAAATTTTCTATGCTAATAATTCTGCAACACATTTTTTTTCATATTTTCAAAATAGAAAGTATACCTTATGAATTTACGATATTATCTAAAATGATTATGGCAATAATGTTGAAATATGATGTCCTGTCTAAGACTATTGAATACTCAGGGGATGTAATATCAGAACACACTGTCAATTTATTGAAATATTAACTTCAGAAAATTCACACCTGATACCATACTCATTATTAATGAGGTGGTAGGGAGTTATTTTTCTCAAGAAAATTGCTTATCATCTCAAATGTATTGTTTGAAATATTTCATAATCTTCTTTAACATATGTTACATTATATGGTTTTTCTTAGTTAATAATTTTGTCGTTATACAACATATTTTCCTGTTCTATGTCTATTCCTTTCTAACTTCCCTCTTTCACAGATACTGCAGTATTTGTGACACTCCAATCGCAAAATTCTACATTTCACTGTATATAAAGTATTAAATAACTGAACTGACAATCATTCATTTCAACATAAACATCAGATTTCTGGCAGGCCATATGGCACACACTCAAACTGACACAACTGATTTTTACAGTATTAAAGCAACACCTGGGTTATGTAGTAAGTATGATCCAGGTGCTATCAAGTCTATATTCTCCCAACCATCTGTGACCTATCAGAATGAAAGCCTACACTGCATATATACTCCTAATAATCTACTGTGGTCAAATTACATGTTATCATGAAGTGGTAACTTTCTGCTTGCTGAGTTAAATTTATTATACCAAAGAACAAAAATATATATCTCTTAATAGTGCTTTTACATTTCCCCAGTAATTAACAAATGAATGTCCAATTTTACTGGTAATGTTTCTGAGATATATATACATATATATATATACATATATATATATTATACACATGCCAAAACACTAGTGTTAATTTGTTCTTTATGTGTATTACAAGATCACTATAAATAACAAGAGTGGACACGCTGAAATGTCTCGCCTTCTTTACTAACCATTGATATTATGTTGATAGTCCTAAATGAAAGCTTTACTACAACTATTACATAAACTTAACATGATCCAAGAAAATGAAGTCAAGGTCATATAAACCAAACAAGAAATACATGTACACCTTACAATCATTCAATACACTAAATATAGTTGACCTATTGCTTATAGTTTCTAAGAAACAGACTTAACCAAGAAAACTAAACATTGACCAATGAATCGTGAAAATGAGGTCAAAGTCAGATGAACCATGCCAGGCAGACATGAACAGCTTACAATCCTTCCATACAACAAATATAGCTGACCTATTGCTTATAGTTTAAGAAAAACAGACTGAAACACATAAACTTAACACTGAGCAATGAACTGTGAAAATGAGGTCAAGGTCAAATAAAACCTGCGAGACTGACATGTACATCATAGAATATTTCCATACACCAAATATAGTTGACTTATTGCATAATAGTATAAGAAAAAAGACCAAAACTCAAAAACTTAACTTTGACCACTGAACCATGAAAATGAGGTCAAAGTCAGATGACACCTGGCAGTTGGACATGTACACCTTA